TAATATATATATATATATATATATATATATATATATATATATATATATATATATATATATAATTATATTTATTTATGCATATTACTTTTTTATATTTTTATTAAATTTTCATATAAATACTCTTTTTAAATTAATTAATATTAATTATTAATATATATTATTAATTTTTATTATTTGTAAAGAAATTTATTGAAGTTAATACTAAGCTTGCCCATGAATCATAAAAACTACAAAATAATTATTTTTAATAATAAAAATTAGAATATTGTAAAAGGCTTTCTATATTAAAATTATTTTTTTTTTCATCTTTTAAATTATAATTTTTCTAATATAAAATTTATTTCGATTAAACTAGATTTAAGTCTTAGTTTGTAATATCAATAATTTTTCAAATTTTTAAATCTATTTGTAAATTATAAATAGTAGTTTTCTTTATTTTATTTAAAAAGTGGCTTATTTTATAAAAAATTACTACATTTTTTTTATTAAAAAAGGAAATTATTTTATAGTAAATAATTTTTATTTACATATTATTTTAAACTTAATAAATTAATTATTAAATGTTATATTTATAATTTTAAAGCTATATAATATTAATAAACTAATAAAAAACAAACAATTGTTTGAAATTGTCATTTAAAATTTTTTAAAAAAGTATTATTATTTAAAAATATATTTTTTTTTATTAATATGATATTTTAGAAAACATAAAACTTATTGTTATATTTTTAAAAATATTAAAATTATGTTTAAAAAAGCATAATACTATAAATAATCTTAAAAATTATTTAATTAAAAAACATTATTTTATGTTTAAAAGAAATTCTCAAAGTAATTTATATAAAATCATAAGTTTATTTATAAAAAAGTATTTTAATATTACGCTTAAATGCTCATCTTAATTTCTTATTTTTTATATAATTTAAATAAAATTATACACAATTTTTTTTATGATATTAATATTTTGTTATTATTTTTAAATTTTTGCTTTTTCAGCTTTTATTTTTTTATTTTCTCTTCTTTAAATATATTAGCAATTTTATTATATTTACTCAAAATCAAAAGAAGTTTAATTGATTGAAGTAGATTATTTGATAAAGTTTTTCTAACCAATAGGAAGCAAATTAGAAAGGGAAGTTAAAATTATTTTAAGGCTTTAAGTAACGAATATATGTTTTTTACATTTAATTATTGTCACATTATATTTATTAATTATTAAATAATATTGATTAAATTTTATTTATATAATTCTTTATTTTTGATTTGTGGGGATAATATTTTATATTTGTTTTTTATTTTTTAAAAAATAATATTTATATATTAAAGATATATAATAAAATGATTTAATTTAAGAAATCATAAAATATAATATATTTTTATTTTTTTCTATATTTCATAAAAATATATAATAATCATTTACTTTTAAAAAACTATTTATATCTTATTTTTTTTTTTTAAATATATATTTTTATTTTTAATATGGTTTAAAATAAAAATATTTAATGAAAATAAAAAAAAAAAATATATTATAAAATCCTAATTTTCAGTAAATTTTTTCACTTACCACCTAAAGCTTAAAACAATTATCTAACATCAAGTTTCCATCCTTCCTAAAGTGTAAAGTATCTCATGAGTGTATAAATTTCCTAATAACTAAGATTGAACCCTAATTTTTTAAATCCAACGACCAAATCATTAAAATCAATAAGTCCTTTTCCTTACTAATCAATATTTTTTATAAGTTCAACAATAAATTAATTATAAGACCCAAATTTGGTTGCGAAATTTTTAAGTCTAAAAATAACATGCTCAATATCCGCTTCTCTAAATATTTCAGGTCTAGATCTCATATAATTATGTGTATATTCATCAGCACTTAAAAGTTAAAATTTGAATTCATTCAATTGAATAATTTCTCCAATTTAGAAATCAGACTATGTATAAAACTTACCTGTAATATTATTCTTATGCCTCATTCTTTCCAAAAACTTACCTCTCCAAATTCCTGAATTCTTTTCTGACGTTTCATAAACCATTAATGTATCATCTCCATTGTAAAAAGTTATTATGAATTTTCTAATATTATCATCCTTGTTTTGTGATATTAATCTTGCTTCGTATCTTAATATATATTAATCTTATGTATATATTTTATTTATGTCTTTTCTTGGTGCTTTCGGTTGTAGACTATATACACTGCCAAGTGAATCTTCTTCGGTTCCATAGCCAGTATATGGGGGAACTGGGGAATAAAATTTCTTAACTTCTTCTTTTTTTAATGATATTGGAATTTAGTTGTAATTTAAATTTCTTAAATACCATTCCTTGGTATATTCGTCACAATCAAAAATTAAAACATCTTTTGAATATAAGCAAATTGTTTGTCCACATAATAAATCTTCTGGCTTATAGAATTCTTCTTTTTTTAATGTCATACCTGGATAATAAGTCTAAATAGGAATCTATTTATATTTTTTTACTTCATTTATGAAAAGAGTTATTTTTTTTTTACTTTTGGCATTTTTTTTTTATTTAAAAACATAGGAAATGAATCTTTTCCACTATTATGTCTTCTAATTTCTTTTAATTCAATAGAATCATCTGACAAATAAAAATTCAAAATATAATAGTTGATTCCTCCTTCAAGGGTATTATCATTCCATAAGACATTAAAAGATAACACCTTAAATAAAAAGAATTAACTTAAAATAAAATATATAATTTACTTTTCTATCATTTTCTAAATATTATTATAAACCTCCATTAGGATGTCCACCTCCAAGTTTAACTTCATTATATTCATTATATTCTTTAACATCAGGAGGAGGGATTTTAACTTCTTTAAGTCTTTTTTATGTTTAGAAATTATCTTCAGGAACCGGTTCTATTTAATTGAGTTAAACTCCCATATAATTATAAAATTCTTAAGTAAATTAATCACAATCTGTAATTCTGAAAACTCTCTCAAACAAATTAACATTAACTCCAATATTTAAATCTTCCCATGTATAATAATTATCTGTCGAATTTAATACTTTTGGAATTTTTTATCTTTTAATAAAAATTCCTTAAACAATTCCTGAGTTTTAAATTCTAGGCTCATTTACATGAATTGTTCCATCAGATAAATAGTAATACATAGTACATTTTCTTATCCTATAATTTTCTTTAGGATCTTCAACTACACTCTCTTAAAAATAGCAATTAAATCTAAGTACTTATCTATCATATTTTAACCAAGGAGGTTATATTCTTGGGATATAATCATTAATTACATGCTTTTCTATATTTTATTAATTTTTTTTATATATAAAATATATATTATTTAATTTATACTTTTTCCATATGTCAAATTTAAAGGGGTTCCCATTCTTAAATTATCAATTAAATTAGGATCATTTTTTTCTTCTATGTAATTTGTTTTTTCACATGTAACATTGTTTATTAATGTAAACTATTATATTTTATGATGGTTTTCCTTTAATAGATCCTCATACATATGTCCTGGAAGTAAAGGAATTGTTCTGGGTAAATGTGTTGTTTTCATTTATTTTTAATTTTTTTTTTTTTATATTTTTTTTTTTTTGTAATTTAAATTAGAGAGAAAAAAAAAAGTTATATATTTTAATATATATATATATAATTAAAAATATTTTTTTCATTAATAATTATCATTTTCGTATTCAATATCTTAGTTAGAGTTTTTAATTTATTATTCATAATAAGCTTATTTAGAGATATTTTATTTTAATATTTTCTTTACTTTTTCTATTAATTCAGAATCATATTTTTAATCACTTTAAAAAATTTCTAAAGACATTTAAATTTTATTAATACCATCTTTATAGTTTTTAAGTTAGCAAAGTACAGTACTTTTTTTATTAATTAAATAAAAAAAAATTAAATAAAAAAAACCCAATATTATTTAGAGTTTGAGCTGATTAAATACAATTTTCTCCATATTATTTATTTTAAAATTCATAAATAATTTGAAACAAATCAAGACTTTATTAATACTATTTAAGCCTGAAATACACTGAAGCAAGTGAATTTGCAGTATTTATAGTTTATTTATTATAAAGTCCGAATACATTCTTCTTAATTTCAAGAGATTTTTCGAAATAATAAATTGATTATTCATATTATTTTGACTCTCTAAAGCATTCACCTAAAGTATTATAAAGACTACTTACTACAACTCCACCTTCCCCTTCGTTTAAATTTTCATAAATTTCTTATTAATAATTTAAGGATTATAAAATATGTTAGATTGCTAATTCATATTATTTTAAATTCTAATATGTATTTCCCATATTTTAGTATGTATTAGCAAGTCCTTTTAAATTTGCATTGTTTTTAAATTACTTTTTAATTTCTAAACTTTATTAAAAATAACTTAGAGCTTTTTCATATTCTTTATTATTTCTATAGGCTTCGGCGAGCTTTTTTTTTTTAAAAAAAAAAAAACAAATAAAAAATAATATTCAATTTAAATAAGATAAAAAAAAAAAAAAACTTTGTTGTTAAAAAAATATAAAATACATTATTCATTCTATTTGCAACTTATATATCATTTTCTCCATAAATAGTAATATAAATTTTTAAACTTTAACTAAAAGCCTATATAGCTTATTAAATATTCGAAATACAAAAGTAAGCCAATCCTAAATTATTAAGAATATGTCCTTTATTTTTTAATCCTTCTCCGTAGTCTGAATTTTCGATTTTTGGAAGAGATTTTTGCCAATATTTGATTCCATTTAGATAATCTTTTTTTTTAGAATATGTTTCTCCTAATGATGAATATAAATAAAATATTAAATTTGGGTTTATTTATTCCATTAAATTTGGAATTTCTATATTTTCGTTTATATTCTCATTTGCTTTTTCCATTACTTATATTGCTTAATCTAACATATTCATATTTAAATAACATAAACCAATATATAATTAATTGTTTGTTTATAAATTGTGTAATTTTATAAATGCTTTCAAATCATTATTTAATTTTTTTGCTTTTTCAATTTCTTCTAAGCATATTTATTCTGCTTTTAAAAAATATTCTATTGATTTCTCATATTATTTTTCTTTATAAAGTTTTTATCCTTTATCTAAATTTGCTTAAATATTCTCTAATTAATCTGGCTTGGAAACTATTTCTATATTTTTTTATGAATATTATTTTAGTTAATCTTTTTATATCTGCTATTTTAAAGAATCTGAATTTTATAGATATTTTCTTCTTATAGTAACTGAGATATTTAATAAATCTTCATTTTTTTCGAAATTTTCTTTTATCCAATTCAAACAACTTCCTAAATCTTTTAAAGTAGAATTTTTATTAAGCTAAAAAATTTCAGCTCTTGACATATATATATATATATATATATTTTTTTATTTTTTTTTTTTTTTAAAAAATAAAAAAAAATAAAAAAAAAATTAATTGTTTATATTTATAATTTTAATTAAAAAAATGAAATCAGTATTTTATCTAATAAACAAGGGAAAAATTTCTCAAAAAATAAAATAAAACAATTTAAAATTCTTCTAACTTTATCGGAATATTTTAAATCGAAAAAAAAAAAAAAAAAAGCTATGTACTATTTTTCCAAAAACTCTGATTTAAATTTTAATGGAATTTATAAAAATCAAACTTAATTAATACTCATGAAAATCAAACTGAAATATAATTAAGTATTTTTTTTTTTTAACAAAAAAAACTTATATTTTCAAAGTTATTAATTAAAATCCTTAAATTTTGACATTATATTTTATGAAAAAAAGGCTATTATATTTGTTTTTTTAATCAACTTCTCGTTTAGATAGAGGGCATAAAATTTTATATTGCTTAAAAAAGTAATATTAATTTTTTTTTATAATATATATTCGTTAAATACAAAGTATAATAACAAATAGATATTTCAAAAAAAAAGAAATTTTACTTATAAAATAATTTTCCAAAATATTAAAAATAAATAAATAATAATATAAGTAAAGCTTAAAAAAAAAAATAGAATATAAATGATATTGAAAAGGAAATGTTTTTTGCACATAATAATCAAAAATTAAATGATAAATAAAAATAAGGCAAACTATAATTAAAGCAAGCAATAATTTAAGATATACAACAATATAATTTAATCACTAAAGGAATATTTATGAAAAAAATATATGGAAATCATTTTATTCTTAATTTGATTTCAAAGAAGAATATTTATATAAATAAAAAGTTTAAAAAAAAGATTAAGAAAAAAATCTACCTTATAAATAAATAACTGGTTCATGTATAAAGATAAAAGCTATTATTAAATTACTTTTTTTGGCTAATATATAATAAATTAATTTCAATTTAAAATTCAAATGATAAATTAAAATATTTTTTATTAAAAAAAAAAATCTAAAATATTTTTTAAAGAAAATTAAAATCAAACAAAATTCAAATGAATTTACATAACTATTTAATTACATATTCTGGCTTAAATGTAAATTGTTTATAAACTTTTCCATAAAAAGCCTATAAAAATAAACAAAAGTATGATATAGGTAATAAATCAGATAAAATATCATTATTTGAACAAGAGAAACTTATATTTTTAACTAAAACATGGGGCTATGAAAATCATAAGCAATCTATAACATTTGTATTAACCTGCTATTTTTAAAAAAATTGTAAAATATATTATTTTATATTCGGATGAAGCATATTTACGTTTATTAAATAAAATATCTAATATTCGAAAATACAAATACAAATTTTTTATCAATAAATTTGCCATTTACTTATTTTAAAAAAATAAATATAAAAAATAGTAGAGAAATTTTTACAAATTGTATATAAGAGAAAACTGATTAGAAAGCATTTTCTTAAATCTTAAAAATCGGAAATACTGTAACGATTTTATTAATAAAATCTATTTAAAAGTGTTTTTTTTTTTTCTCCTAATATATGTGAATATTTATATTTTTTTTTTTTTTTTTTTCTTAAAAGCCTTTAATTGTTATTATAAATTGATAAAAATATATGAGAAAAAGATGATTTTAAACATTAAAAAAATAAAAATTCATATATTTTTTTCATTTTAATTTCCTGGAATAATTTTTCTATTTTATTTTTTTATTTAATAAATAATATTAAAACATGAAAATTATCATTTATAGACTAAAATTAATAATTATTTATTTTAAATAATTAATTCAGAAATAAATATTTGGTTTCATTTATAATTTACCTCATGTTTTAAACCAAATAATACTTTTTTTATGATTTTAAGGACTATTTTTTTTTTTTTTTTTTTTGATAAATAAAATATATTATATGCAAGAAAAAAATCAGAAAAAGAAGATTTTAATAAAAATAAGGAAAATCTTAATAAAAATAAAAAATATTTTATAGTGTTAATTTTCATATAAATTTACTTGAAAATCTTATTTTTTTTCTATCGATTATAAATGATTAATTTTTCATAAAAAAAAAAGAAACAATTTTATTAATAGTTTTTTTTTTGGAGTTTAAAGAGCAGAAAAAAAGAAAAAAGAAAAAAGAAAACTTTGAATTATTCTTAGTCAATTATTCGTATTAAATGATATAAAATTATTTCTTGACTGTTTAAATAAGATTTTTTTGTTAATTTTAACAAAAAAAGAAATACTTATTTAGCATTTTTTTTTTGAAATTCTGTAAAACTTTGATAAAAAAATGAAAATAGTTCAAAGAATAAAATAATTTAATAAAACTCATAAAAATGCTTTTGATAACTTATTATTTTTAAGAGAATTTTTTTAAAAAAAGGGAAGAAATTAGAGAATTAATATAAAAAAAAATAAAAGAAATAGACATTTTATATTCAATTAATAAAAAGAATATGCAAATTATTTTAATTAATATTATAAAAAAAAAGGGATAATAAAATTATTTTTTATATTTAATATTTTAAATATTTATTTATTTTTTTTGAAAAAAAATAACAAAAAGACTATTTTATCAATCGAAAATTATTATTTTATTTCCATCTTGTATAATGGAATGTAAACCTATATTTTTTTTATTTAAAAAAACAAAAAAAAAAAGTTAGATTTTATTTTTTTTTAATTTAAAACAATAAAACCTCTGAAACTAGCAGAAATTTATGAACAATTAGAAGACGAAAAGCTTATTTGTTTTTTTTAATTAATTTCATTAAGGATAATTTCATTTGGTTATATTTATTCTATAAGGCTAAGTTAAATATTTTGAATTTAAGAACCATTAAATTCTTTTGAAATTTTCATATTTTTATCATCAATTAATATTACTTATGAAAACCCATTATTTGAAGAAGTATTATTAACTTAATTTGTCTTAGTAAATAAAGCTAAAATAAGATTTTTTTCATCAAAACACATATCTTTAAGTTCATAATCAGCTTCTATTTTTATAAATATTACTTAAATATTAGTTTATCTTTTATTTTTCTTTATTCTAAATAGTTGTAAAACATGAAAGTCTAATTTTTTTTTTTAATTTTATTTATTTAAATAATTTTTTTACTTCTAACTTTTCCTAATTATATTATTTTATATTCTTAATCAACTAATTCCTAAAAAATATGAAGATTTTTAAAGCGAGTCATATTATTTAAAGTACATAATCTAATCTTTTTTTATAAAAAAAAAAATTAAATATAAATAAATATTTGATAAAAATACAATTTCAACTGGCTTTCTGATGTATTTAGAAATTTCATTTTACATTTTAAAAAAAACTAAACTCCATTATTTTTCGAGGTTTTTAGTAGTAATAATTAAATTACTTTTTGGAATATTATTTAATATATTACTTTAATGATTTTCTTTATTCTAGGCTTCTTTTAATTCAACCATTAATTAAAAAGGTTAATTTTATTTAATTTAACTATTTTTAATATCATTAAGTACAAATTAAAATATTTAATTTTATAAATTATTTTCTTCTGATACTATTCTTACTGCGTTTTTTTAATCTTTACTATTACTTCCAAAAGTATTTTGTAAAGAATTAGCTTTTTATATTTGAATAGGTAAGTCAACTTTATTTTCAGCAAATATTTTTAATTCTTTTAATCTAAATCTCTCTTCACTACTTAAAAAAGTATGTAGTCTTTAAATATCAATTTAAAATTCTTTCAAAGCGAATTTATGATTCTGAATTTCTACTTCATTTTCATTTTCGCATGTTTTTATTACACCTATTATTTTTATTTATTTTTTTATTTTTATTTATTTTATTTACTTTTATTAAGCCAAACAAATAAATTTCTAATATTTAATTTTGTTTCTGTTGCTGCTAATAAGACTTCGTCAGATAAATAATATAATTATTTTATTAAAACTGATAATTTTTTTAATTCTTAATAATCTAAACCTAATAAAGAATATTTATCTTTTCTAATTTTTTTTGTAAATGTTTTTAAAATGATATTTATATATGCATATATAAATATATAAATATATAAATATATATATATATATATATATATATATATATATATTATTTTTTTATATTTATATTATTTTTATATATACAATTCTGCAAAAGACTCCAGTTAAGAAATTAAAACAGTAATCCTTTATAAACAACTTTAAATACTTTCTTAAATTAAATCTTATATATTTTATAATTTCTTATTTAAACTCTAAAAAAATAAAAATAATTATTAGAAAAAAATTAAAATAATTATACTTAATCCATTTTCTCCAACACATTACAATCATATATTTCCTTTGTTAAAAATTACTCTATAGCCCTTGAATATTCACCTGAAGTTAATAATTTATGAAATTCTTCACTCACAAGACAATTAGAATTATTATCTTTTTTTTATTAGTTTTATTTTAAAATATAATTTTTTTTCAAAAATAACTTTTTATCAAATCATCCATAATTCCCATTTTGGCATCATATAATCTACAAACATCTAGTATCTATTTATTCAAGTTTGTAAAACAATTATTAGAAAAACTAATCATAGCATCAAGATAACCCATTAAATAAGAAATATTCTTTTATATTTATTTATAAATATTAAAATTAAAAAAAATATATCACTGTAATATCTTATTTGTAATAATTAATAATGCTAGTATCAATATTAGCTATGCAGAGTAAATCTTTTTACTTATTCAGATTCGATTTGGCACTAAAAAATAAATGTAAATTTGATTGTTAATCTAAAAAAAGAGAAGAAAGGCTTTTAGCATCAGAAAAATTATTATTTTATACAATTGCTTACAAATCCAATTTAAAAATAGGAAATAATCCATTAAAACTGACAATTAAATTAGAATCAATATCACTAGTAATTAATAACCTAATATCTTTTTCAGGATTAAATTCACTAAAAAAATTCAATTTCATAACAGTCTTTTTATCACTAAACTCATGAGGAATGATTGGAATTATAAAATTGTTTAAAGCCTTTCCGTTTTCAAAAAAATTTAACATTTTAATATCACTTTTTATATTTAGTTCGACACAATCCAAACTTGTTATTTAATTCTTATGTAATTTATCAATTGTAAATAATCTTTTTCCATTTTCAGTTTTTACTATATTCATTGAACCATCATCACATGCAAATATCAATAAATAAGCTTTTTTATATAAATTATTATAATATTTTATTATTTTTATTACAATCAGGACTAAAGCATGTATTAACTATTTAATTTATTTCTTCTACATGAAAAACTTTTTATGATTTATAACTTATCCTGTGTAGCTTTATTACATTAATTTTTTTAATATAATTTTTTAATATACTTCTAATATGTTTTCTGATGTAACAATCGCTAATAAGTCCATTTTATTACTCCATTACATTGACTTTATTTCTTATGGAAAAGGCTTTTCGTGACAAATGTTATACGATTAAATTTCTTCTTCCATGCTTATTTTATTAATTATGTTTAATTAAGTAATTTAAAAATTATACACAACTTTTTTTAAATATAATGTTTAATTATTTAATAATTAAAATAAAAAACATTAATAATTTTTGTAAATTAAACTAATATGAAAAAATTATTTAAAAAATTAACTAAAAATAAATAAATTAAAATATTTATATATATATATATATATATATATATATATATATATATATATATATATATATATTTAGATATTTATTCATTTTAATTCAAAAATATCTTTATTATATTATAAGTAATATAGAAATTTCTTATTTTTAAATAATGAAAAGAAATACTAGATAAACATAGAAAAAGGAACTAATAATTGATCCTAAATCTTTAAACTGTTTTAACATAATATAATAAGATTTATAAAAAAGATCAACAAGAAGCTAAAGTAAATTAGCAACATAACAATAATAAGTGGAAAGAGAAACTTCTAATAACAAAAAAAAAAAAAAAATATTAAAATAAAAAGAATCGCAAGAAGAAGAATTAGACGATTAAACATAGAATTCTTATGAAGAGAAATAATAAAATTAAAAGAAGAATGCTTTAAAGAAATTATAATAAAAATCAAAATAAAAAAACGATGAGAATTCTGATTATGATCCATAAGATGAAAGCGAAATCCAAAAAAAAAATACTTCTTTAAAAACTAATAATAAAAGGAAAAATCTAATGATATCTTCTAGTGGAAGTGATGAGAGTTTCGAAGAGGAAAGTCATAAAAATAAAAATAATAAACCAAAAAAAGCTAATAATAAAAAAAATGGAATATTTGAATAAAAATCTAATCTTAATTTTAATTTTTCAGAAGAAGGAAAAAATGATTTAAATGAAAATTTTACACTGCCATTTTTTCTTTAAAAAGAGTACATTAAAGATAAAGAAGGTAGATCTCCTTCTGATCCAAACTATGATTCATCTACTTTACATATACCAGTAAAGATATTATCAAACGAAAGACCATTATATTAATAGTATTGGCAAGTGAAATCTGAAAATTACGATAAATTAGTATTTTTTAGATTAGGGAGAAACTTTATGTGCTATTACGAAGATGCTTTTCTAATGAAAAGAATGTTTGATTTATAAGTCAAAATGTGGGGTAATAAGCCTTTTGTCATGATTTGGGATTCTTAATATCCATTATATATTAAAGAAACACTTGAAAAAGCTAATAAAACATGCATAGTAGTTGACTAAGTGTCATTTAATGATGACAAAGAAAATGAAAATGATATAATAGAAGTAAAAAAACCATTTAAAAGTATATCAAAATTAAAATAAATAAAAAGAGAGAAATTACTCAGATAATCTCAAAAGGCACATATACTGATTTTATGAATACAAACGAAGATTATAATGAACGTTTTATGATGGTTTTAGTAGAAAGCTAGATTGATTCTTCATTAGGAATTGCTTTGATTGACTGTACGACCCATAAAGTACTTTTAGATGATATAAAAGGTGACAAAAATGGGAATTATTTAAGGACCATATTAAGAAAATATAAACCTGTGGAAGTTTATTCAAAGAAAAATAACCTTTCTTTGTAGACAAAGAATCTTTGCAAAATTATTTCTAAGCCTTAATTTAATTTTGAATATGAAAATAAATCTTTCGAACCTCTTGAATCTATTTTTTAAGGACTTAAAGATGAGTTTTCTTAAGAATAATCTGATGTTTCTTTATAACTCAATTAAAATTAATAATAAAATAATATTAAAAGAGAATATCCAGAAATTTTTAAGAAAATTGAGACACTATATATTTAATAAAAGGAAAAAGATGAAGATTTTATGGATTAAAGTTTCGATTATTATATGCTATTATAATCAGTTTACCTTCTTTTGAATTATTTGAAATTTCTAAAATTGAATGAAAATGTATTTTAATAATCAACTTTTGAGTTTTTGGATGAAAAAACATAAAGTAATGATTATTTAGTATTAGATTCTCACGCAATTGAGAATTTGGATATTTTCGAAGTAAATCAAATTACAAAAATACAAGAAGAAGGTTCTCTTTTGGACTTTTTAGATTACACAAAAACAAAATTTGGAAAAAGAAAACTAAAAAAATGGTTAATGTATCCTTTAAAAAATATTAAATAAATATAAGAAAGATAAACTACAGTTTAAGAAATTCTTGAAAATATAAATTATTTTGAAGATTTTCTAAAAAAAATACAACTTCTAGGAGATTTGGAAAGAAATCTAAGTAAAGTTTTCAATTCTTCTTAGTTTTCGCGTTTAAATCCATCTTCTTTTGATAATTTCTCACATTAAAGGTTAAAAGAATCTTTTCTTTTTATTAAAAATCTTAAAATTTTGCACTAAAATTTCCTTGAATTTCCTCTTAAGGAATTTTCTTCCAATATTCTTAAAAATATTTTCTAAAAGTAAGATTTACCAAAACTTCTTGATTTAATCTAAAAAATTGAAAATTAACTTTTCTAAGATGAAAACGGAAATTGTTTCCCAAAACCAGGCATAGATCCCACTTATGATGAAATATTAAAAAATATGGAATAGATAAAAGACGAAATGAATCAAGAAGTAAATAAATGGAGGCAAAAACTAAAAAATCTCGATATAAAGCTTATCAAAACAAGACTATAATATGAAATATAAGTACCAGAAAGCATAGTATAAGGTCAATTAAAGCCAAAAGAATTTTCATTAACCTCAAAAGTAAAAGGATATTAAAGATTTTAAACAGAATAAATAATATAATTATTAAAAAAGATAAAAACTGAAGAAATTAACATATAGAAAGCCTTAGCTCCTTTTTGTATAACTTTTTTCCATTAATTTTTTTCTTAAAGAGATTTCTTTTATAAAATACTAAATTCTCTTTCAGATTTAGACGCCCTTTTTTCCTTAGCTTTTAATGCTTAAAAGCTTCCTGTAAAATGTTTACCTTCTTTTCATAAAAAAAATACTTTTATATTATAAAATATGCACCATCCACAATTAATCAAATATAAATCAAAATCTATTGTCCCAAATGATACTATTTTTCCAAAAAATGTTACTGCGATATTAATTACAGGTCCAAATATGGGAGGAAAATCTACTTTGTTGCGTTAAACTTGTCTAGCAGTGATTTTGGCCTAAATTGGTGCTTTTGTACCAGCTGAAAAGTTCGAAATGTCAATTAAAGATCGCATATTTTGCAGAATAGGAGCGACTGATAATCTTATGGAAGGTAAATCTACGTTTTAAATAGAAATGGAAGAAACAAGAAATATTGTTAATGAAGCTACTGAAGATTCTTTAGTTTTATTAGATGAATTAGGAAGAGGGACTAGCACTTATGACGGAGTATGTATTGCTTATGCAGTATTAAAATATCTTGTTGAAAAAACTAAGTGTTTGTGTCTTTTTTCTACTCATTATCATTTGCTTGTGGATGAATTTTTACTTTATGATAGTATTTAAAGTTATTTTATGAATTTCTCGTTTGATAATCAATAGTAAAAAATTCATTTTGAATATAAATTTGTAAGAGGATTTTCAGCAAAAAGTTTCGCAGTTAATGTAGCACAAATCGCAGGATTGCCATATTAAATAGTTGAAAGAGCAGGAGAAGTAGAAAAAATTATTACTTAAGAAGAATAAAAACTTTCTAATTTAATTTTAGTTAATCAAAAATTCAATACTTATATTCAAACTTTATAATAGGATTTATTAATGTTATAATAAGATTTATAAATAGATTGAAGTTTATATAAAAAATGATTTGTTATTTTTGATTTTTTTTTAAATAAATATTATATATTTTATATTATATATTATATATTATATATTTTATTATATATATTATTCTATATTATATACATATTTTGTTTTTTGAAATAAATATAAATTTCATTTAATTAATTTATGTTTTTTTGTATATAATATTTATTTATATATTAACTTATATAATTTTTATATGAACTAAAGCAGTAATACAAATTTTGAATAAATTCCTTAAAAGGATATTTAATATACAGAAAGTGATTTAGATATTATATAAGGAGAAGAAAGAAATGTAATAAATCAAATTTTAAAATAATAAAATATATTTTTATTAATAGTTATTTTTTCTTCATAAATTCAAATTTTTAGATAATAAATATATTCAAGACATAAATATACTTTTATAAAATGTCTAAAATAGAAAATAATTTATAAAAAATATTCACACAAAACTACTCTCTAACGACTTTTATTTTTTTCTTAACATGTATAAAAAAAAATGTATAAAATAAAAAAATAAAACTTATAAAGAAATCACATATTTTTTTAAAAAATATAAAATTATAAAAAGATCGATAATTTATTTATTATTGGAAGAGACTTAAATGCTCTTCTTGATATAGCGAAAAATTAATAAACTTAAAAATTAAAAGAAATAGATGAAATAAATATAAGATTAGCTTCTTTGAAAATAGAAAACATAGACGATCCAAAAGCACCTGATTATAATCCAAAGTATAAAAATTTGAATATATAAAAATATGAATTAGATGCTAATATTGAAGAATTAAATTTAATAAATTAAGAAAGGATAGAGATAGGAAATGATTTTTAACCAATTTCGTTAAGTATTTATTTATTCTTTTATTTATTTAATTTAATTATATATATGAAGAAAAAATAACAATTCCAAATGCAAATGATAATATAAATATGATTTTTATTTGGTGCACATTAGCATTATATGACATGTGTATAGAAAATTATGATTGGTAAAATTTTAAATAATAAGTGTTTGGATAAGATGAAGGAAAAGACTTTAAATAAAGATTAATTTATAAAACATCTACTAAAATGAAAACGGATTAAGCATCACTTGCTTTATAAATTTTAAATTTATAAGAAGTTTTTCTAAATAAAAAATATTTAAATAAAGAATAAAAAAAGTAATTGGAAAAACTTCTTAACTATATAAATTTGATTAATCAAGGATGGTAATTAGGAAAAGAAATTAGATAAAAGGCTATATATTTTGAAAAACTTCATGTAGAATATTAGGATATTTTAAATAATAATAATATAAAAATGTAAGAAATATAAGCTTGCAAAGAATAACTTTTTAATATATAAGAAACCCTTGCTGGAATTTAAAATTTTATGGAAGGAATATAGGAAGAATTTGTTAATTTAATTAAACTTTAAAGAGATTGTGAATAATATTTGATATTCCTCTAGGAAATACAGGATAAATATTTTACTTACTATAATGATATGATAAGTAATGAATCAAGTGACTCATCAAACTAGGAAAGTTCTGTAATATCTAATGATTAAATAACTAGTTATAATGAAAAAGTTGAAGAAGATGAAGAATAAGTATTTTCTGATTAAAATATGTATTTTTATTTTTCTTTTAAACAAAATAATATTAAAATATAAAAGTGATGACAGTTCATTAAGTGAAGTCGAAGAAAATGATTAAAAATAAAGTTAAAATTATGAAAATAATTAGATTTTTGATTAATAAGTAAAATAAAATAAAAAATAAGATTGCTAAATTTATTGAAAATCATTTAAACTTTTATTTAATATTTATTTTATATTATTTAAAATTAAAGTATAATATATATTAAAATTACTGAAAATAAAATAAAAAAAAAAAAAATTTGTTTAATAAATTTTTACAAACTATTTGTTTATATAATTCTAGAATTTCTAATAATTTAATTTTTTATTTATTTATATACAGTATATATTAATGAGAATGTCTTTTCTAATTTTTTTCTCAAATTTCGGTATCTTTTAATGAGATTAATAGTAAGGGCTAACTAAGATTTTTTTTTTAAAAAAATAATAAAGTTTATATTTTATTTTTTAATTAATAGTCATCAAAAAATAAGACTATTAGAAGGAATTTTATAATTTCGAAATAGATAAATAAAAATTTTGAAAAAAAATAAAATAGTTAATATACTTTTTTTAATTGATTATGTTTTTTTTTTAAAAAAAAAAGAAAATTAAAAATTATTAAGTATTAATTTTTACAATATATATTTTTGTTTCAAAATATATTTTAAATTATATTTTTTAATTACTAGTTTGGATTCAATATTTTTAAATTCAAAAATGAAATTTTTAAAATCAAAAAATTGAAAATAAACTTATATAAATTCTTATGTTTCATAATATTAAAGTGATAAAATTAAATTAATTTTTTTTAAAATAATCTTTAAACTAATATTGTAAATTTTTTTAATATTCTTAAAATAAATTTTTTAAATTATAAATAATATTAATTAAAGAAAAATTATTTAAAAAATATAATTTTAAAGATGATTTCATGTGAACAATAAATAAATTAAATATATAAAATTTAACAAAAAAAACTTTTATGAGAGATTACTTTAAGTGCTTTTCACCACCCATTTAATATATTTTTTCAAAAGGGAAGGGGAATTAAAAAAGGTACAAGTTATTTATATAAATATATAGTATTTATTTCATTCATATAATATTTTATTTACATAATTAATATATTAAAAAGTCTAATAAATATTTCCTTGATACGTAATCTAAATTAAATAATTTAGATATTTCAGCATTATTAAAATATTTAGTTTATCTTAATTAGAAGTATACATTATTTAAGATATAATAAATATGTTAATAATTATTATTTTTAATAACATATATAAACAATCATTATTTTAATTTGTTGTTTTATTTTTGATTATAATATTAGTTATTTAAAATCAATATTTGAATTTATCAATTATTTTAAATTAAACATTATTAATAGGATCTCAAATTAGAGTTCCAATTAAAATATACTTAAATTAAATATTCTGATTTTTTTTTAAAAAAAAAATTAATTAAGTTAAACTGGATACTTTTAGGTATATAAATACATAAACTTAATTAAATATAAAATAATATATAAATTTTTAAGAAAAAAATATTTTTATCATTCAAAATAAATTTTTATTTTATTTTTTTATAAATTAATTTTATTTAATTTTTAAATTTCTTTTATTTATTAATATTGCCGAATAATATAAGCCATTTTTTATTGTGAATATTCTTTTATATTTCTTTATTTATTATAAATATTAATTTTATTTATAAAATTAAAAAAAAAAAAATACTTTATTTCTTCTACTTTTTTTAATTTATCATTATATTCTTATTCATATTGCTTAATTTTTTCATGTTTTTCTTATTAAACATTTTATATATTTTGTTATTATAGTTTAAATTTAATTTATTTATTTTAGTTTTTTAAAACAATGCTACTTTAAATTTTCCTCAAGTTAAATTCTTTTTAAATATTTAGTTTTTCACTTTATTAAACAATTTTATTTTTCTTATTTTCTAAAATTTATTAATTTCTAATTTTTTAAATCGATATTATTTTTTTTTGATTTAAATTTTTTTATATTTCTTCTAAATTTTCTTTTTTATCATTTTTTTGTTATATTTATTAGATTTCTTTGATATTCGAATTTTTTTAAAATGTATTCTTTTATTTTTTTATCATTTATCTTATTTTCATTTATTTTATTTTATTAAATCTCACTTTTTCTTTATGTTATAAAGTTTTTTTTCGAAAAGTTAAAAAAGTAATATAATCTTAATATTACATTTTATCGACATATTTATTTATTCTATTAACAAGTATTAAATTATTTTTTATTTAGATTTAATTTCTTTTCAATTCTTTTATAATTCTCTATTCTTAAAGATATTTTCTTCGTTATTCCTTTTATTATTTGAACTCATATTGAATATATTCTTCAATATTTCTTTCGTCTTATTTTTTTTCTAGTTTAATTTATTCAAAATAATTTAATTTATCCTTTTTTAATTTTTTTTTTTTTTTTTTTTTTTTTTTTTACCTCAATTTTTCAATTTTATCTAATTTTATTTTTATTTTTTTGATTTAAAATATTTCCTATTTACAC